TTAGACAAACAAAATTTTATATCTCTCCTTTCCAGTATAATGTGTTTTTTGACGTACAAACATTTTCTGAGGGGCTTTTGTGACATATATATCGATTCTGCTCTCACCTCAAAGAAAGGTTCTTGATTTTTAGAAAAACTTCAATCTTATGAAAGGGTTTAATTTAAAAGCGGTTTCTTAATATTCATCGTAATATATTGAAGACCCATCTCGTCTGTTCCTCTAAAACTTCTTCTTGTAAAATGACCAGACTCAATAATTACAAGAAACAATCTTCTTCATATCAATTAGCAATATTTCAAATTATGTCCGAAAATGATTAGTTTATAAAGATAAGTATTTCATCTTCAACTGATGTCTTCCAAAAGTCTGTTTTAAAAATGAAAATGATAAAGTAAACATGTATTCAAAGTATTAATATATAAAACTTTTTTGTTTTGAAATCGATGCATTACACTTCACTCAAATCAACATAAGTCTGAAGAAATCCAGTTGGCGGATTTATGTTTTCACTTGGTGGCGGCGGTCAGACTCATGTGTATCGTCAACAGTAGAGACATCTCAGACTCAGGGACCGCGCCAATCTAGGTTCCCGAATTGTCCAAGGACAGGACAAGCTTAGAGATATATATGTACATACAGAAAGACTGAACATCTCTGAAAGAAAGGCTTAATTAATTAATTAATTCTTTGATTCTGCATTTGTGATGTCTCTCTGTTTAATTCTTTTCCAGAAGAGAAAATACCTTGCTGTTTACCTAAAAGCTAAAAAGCAGTGATTGGAGCGTCTGCTTTATACAGTGGCAAAGGAGTTGATCCGTATGTCCCGGGTTCGAATCCCACTACGGGACGTAGAGACTGGTCCTTCGGATGAGACCGTAAGGTCCCGTGTCGCAGTAGGTGATGGCTCGAAAGAGATCCTTCGCTGCACAAATGGCCTTGAATGCGGAGTTTAGGACCAAATTAAAGCACAAAAAGGTCCCTCATTGCTCAATGGTTCTGTGTGCGGAGTACAGGTCTAAAACTTGCAGCCCTCTACCGCCAAGTCTCAAAAGGACATTAATATATACAAAATTATAGATTCTGAAATAAATAATTGTTTTCTTTTTATGTAGAGAGTCTGGGCTGCATCATGTTAACGAGCATCAAGTATGGCCTTCACTTTCAAAAATTCAAAGTTTGATGTAAATATACCGCGTACTTAGTAACTACAATTACCAACACCAGTTTTTTTTTTTTTTTTTTGGTTTTATTTTTACAGTTCGGTGTGGAATCTACAGGCGTGAGAGGCGGTAATTATAGGCCCCGGGACCGACCGCTTGTATTGTATGAAATCCTGAATAATTTAGAGGAAGAGAAATTTTTATTTCTATACCAAATAGAATAATTGTGGTAACACCCAATAAACCTGTTAATTTGGCACACCGCGGCGGGGAGAGTCCGTGGTTTTATTGGGGCCTTCAGCAGACGAAGCCTTGGTGTTTTTTTTTTTACTTTTGGCTTTTTTCATTCATTTTTAAATCTTGATCACGGCAATCTTTTAGTTATCCTTGGTATCTTTTTTTTTCACTTATATTATTTTCGAGCATCTCTATTATCAGTATTACGTTTTATCATTAAAACACATTGTTAAATTGATCTATGTATGATTGTGATTTGCGATTGACTTAATTGCATTCTTTCCTATATATGTGAGAAAGGAAGTATTTTTTGCATGAGATTGTGTTCTACAACGTTTTCTGTTACATGTAATATGGATAATTGGGATCGACATATATAAAGTAAATCAAGTTAAAAAAAATTGCTTTGGTTTGATAATTCAGGGGATTGCATGGGCCAAAATCGTATGAAATTATGACGTCATTAATGAAAGTGTGATAGGATGACGGTGTATTTAACCCAAGGTCATATGTTAATATTACGTGCATATTAAAGTCACGGGCCTTCATTTTTATCGTTGATTAATTTTTCAATCTCGAATTTAAAATTAATGTCAAAACCAATTTTACATTTAAAGCTAATGGAGTAAAACTTTCTGATACAATTCTCTATGAACAAAATTGAAGACTTTGATTGTTTAATTGATTGTATGTTGTTTAACGTCCCTCTTGAGAATTTTTCACCCATATATGAAGACGCCACCACTTGCCCTTGGAGAGCTGCAAATTTTGTCCTATACTCTGCATTTAGGGCCTTTGAGCATGGAAGGATCTTTTTCGTGCCAGCACCTACAAAAACACGGAACCTTGGTCTCATCCGAAGGACCGGTTTCCACGTCCCACAGTGGGATTCGAACCCGCGACGTAACTTCGCGACTCTAGAGCAGACGCTTTAACCACTGCGCCACACGGGCGACTTGAAGACTGAAAAAGTTAAAAACTGTACAGACTTTCAACTCTCTGTAACTTACAAAATCCGTGGGAATGTTTTCAAAAAAATTGTTCTCGCTAAAGCACTAAGAGTATTGGGATTGGTTCACCGAGAGCAAGACATGTTATAATATCTTAAGGGTGGTCATGGCTTTTTGAACACTATTTTAACCTCTTTTTAAAGAAGAACACTGTGTTTTTTTCCCCTAAGTAATACCCCGGTACAGGTAGAAGAATCATATTTCAATATTTCAGTTAGACCTGTTGCATGACTAATTTGTCTATAAGTTTCACTGTTTCAGTTTTAGTAATTCTACGACCCAAATGGCTCATCAGTTCAACACTTTGTCATATCTTATATTCTTACATGAAGAAAAAATATGTTGGGGGGGGTCTAATAAATTATTTGTAAAATCGTTTAACTTATTTAAATTGATGATTCTGTATACATGTATGCTCTCCCAGTTACATGTAACAGCTTTATAGCACAGATATTATAGACTTTACATCGGGGACCTACAAAGTTTCTATATTTAAAGATACTTTGAAAAAAAATCTGCTCTCCATCTCTTGTTGAAGTAAAATGAATATCTGAAAATGTTAGAGGAATTCAGGATAACGAGAAACAAGAAAAAAAGGAATGAAGGGAAAAGGAAGAGCATATTGTACTTGACTACCACATGCGTAGGATGACTAGGATCAGTGAAAACAGTTGCGTCCTCATCCATTCCCTGTTTGGGATTTATTCAGAAATTTCAGGAACACAGATTCGTCCCTGGATTTTTTTCAAGCAGGTGCTTTTAAGTTAAGAACAACCTAGATGACAGGATTTTCACGAATTCTCATACATTTCAATTCATAAAAACACCGCTGCCTTACGGGCACAGACGCCGAATAAATCAACAGATTTTTTGTTTAATCTTAGTGTCGTGTAAAACATTTTTTTTTCAATCAAGTGTTAATCAATTTTATAACAGGTAACAAAATAACCCCACGTGACAAAATGCAATTATCGGGATATAAAAACCTAGAATCCCCCTGAAATGGACAGCGTACATCTGTTTGGTAGCGTGGCGGGGCCAGTTTCTCTAATTAAGTGGTCCAGGGGGACCGATTGGATTAGCTTTTTGTCACTTCGTCTGGCTAGGCCGGTCGGCGGATCATGAATTTTTAATGTGTGGAATCTTATAGATGTAATTAAATCCGAAGTCAATTTAAAATATACACGAAACGAGAGAGAGAGAGAGAGAGAGAGAGAGAGAGAGAGAGAGAGAGAGAGAGAGAGAGAGAGAGAGAGAGAGAGATTACACAAAAAGAAAACATATTTGTAACTGTCAATCTTTATGCATCACGTTCATTTTTTCAGTGAGACTTCGTGAACGTACAAGTGCAAATCAGTTTTCACTTTCTTTTAAATGGGACAGTTTAATCAATTCGAATAAAAATTTGGAATAAAAAGTATATGTCAAATGAATATCCGCCCTGATTTAAACAGGTTTATCATTCAGTTAAGATTGTAAATTATACCGTACTTATGAAGATCTGGAATTATTCATAAGTTCCTCGTCTGATCAAAAATAAAAAAAAATGCAGACACTGAACAGTGCTCCAATTTAAAAGGCTGTATTGTTCATGAACTATTATGAAATTTCCTATTTAATTTTCATTTTTAAAGACTTAAGCTTATTTTATTTATGATATTTGCTAATATTATTCACAATAACTTGGAAGGCTGATTTTACTTTTTAAGTAATCTTTTTTAAGTGATTATGATGAGACTTAAATTCTGAATAACTCTCTTTTGTTTTAAATTTAACAGACTGAAGCATGATTTCATGAATGCATAAAACGAAACATTCTACATTCCCCCCTAAAAGCGTGAATCCTCTCTTTCTTTTTTGCCTTTTTCAGTTGGTAGTATCAACAATAAAAACATAATAGTAATAAATATATAACAAAAAGAATAAAGTTAACTTAATTGTTCATTTTAAAAATTCGTTTATATGATCCCTGGTCCAATTTCAATCATTCGGTAATTTTAAAAAATGGTTTAATTGTTTTCTAATGCGATTAAAATTGAAAAGAAAATATAGATCAATTGTAGGTGACTAAGTTTATACTGCGGACATATTAAACCAGTTAAATACTTTGTCGATTTTTTTCTTTTAAAACTGCACTCGCTGTATACTTGTTAAATCTAAATGCAGATCGGTGTAATCGTATGTTAGCGGTTAGAGCGAAGTAAACTTTGTGTCACCCCTTTTGAAACTTTTTTTTCTTTTGTTTGACAACTCTTTCTTTCGCACCCGTTACGACCGACTAATTCTTTTGTGTCTGAAAAGAATTACTTACATGCGAAGAGATTAAAAAAAGCTCGCAGCGCGGACCGTTATTTAATAAACGTATTTGTTTAAAATATTGCGATCAGGTCTAGTGGATTTAAACAGCTAATCTGAAAAATTTCAACGAAATCGACAATAATAAAAAGTCATTGAACAGGCCTAATCAATTTTCTGTGCTCTGGAAAACAACAAAAGCACGTGGAATTAGCAAACAGTGGGCGGAGTTTAACTCGCCTCCTTTATTCCCATTGAATGATCGCGAATTAAATCCCGTGACGTCACAATGCTTTGAGCGCACATTTGAATAACAAAATATTCACAGCGAAAGGGAAAAACTGAAAGGTGCCATGTTCTACCACCAGGTGAAAATTACAGAAACATGAGGACACAGTAGAGTTTTTGTGGACGTTTCTGACGGACGCTGTTTTATCTCCCCCCGTTTGTTCACACAGCCTGGGCACCCCCCTATGTTAGTAGCACTGTACTATCGCACACTGAAGCACTGCTCCACGTGAGTTTTAGCCGCTGCACGATTTAGTGATATTCTACACGCAGGGAACGTTTTATTATTTTCATACAACGGACTTCGATATGCATTCCATCCATATTATATAGCGATGTGTTGATAGCAGTTTGTGTGAGTGTTTATCCAAAACATCGAAGTTAAATATTTTCTTTATTTATTTATATTTGGGACTATATACACACACCTATTTGACAGCGCGCACCTGTGTCAAGGGAACTTATCAATATAGCGTGTTTGAGCTTTCACAATCGGAGGCTGAATTTAAAACTTCCTATTTAATAATTTTTGTGGAAATAACATGAGACAGATGGAGATGGCCACATCAAGTTTGAAAACAGACACCACCATCGCCCTCAGTCAATCCATGGACTCCGTCAACACCAACCCCGAGGAAGAGGTAGGTGGATTTAGATTCTCTCAGTCCCAGGGGCGCGGATTTTCACTGACGACTTTTATTTTCTCTTTTTCAATCATTTATTTAAATGTTTGGGTACTACATATTTTTTTTAAATGGAAAGAAACAATGAAGCAATTGATTTTCTTTTTAAAGTTTTTTAAACCTTCGAGCAGACGGCTTTCCCAGCCTCTGAAACACAATAAAGGGTCTTGTATAAATTCTAGAAATTCATTGAAAAGGTATACCCCAAAAAAACAGGAAATGACAGAAAAACCTAATCAGTAGGAAAAATCAAAAAGTGGATTGTTGGACCGCAATCTTTGAGTGATCTTTGGTAAAACCTGAAACAATACCTACACAGTTCCCTGTGTCACATTATAACAGTACAATGACTTATTTAAGCAGTGGTTTGTGTGTTATATGTACAGGAATGCATTTCATTTCACCAGTGGTCTGTATGCTTTATGTACAGGAATGCATTTCATTTCCATATTTTTGATTAACCTGGAACCTGCCCTAGGGCCCCTAGTATAGGAACCTAGAACGGATTGTTACGTGAGGGAGGTCAAAATCATCATTTCAGTGCAGAGAATTCACTTATACTGCACTGAAAGTCCTAAATGGTTACCTGTTGATAATTATTTTAACTAGTATTGTTAATTATTTCAACAAAAATTAAAATTCATATCAGAAAAATAGCATTTGCACATTTTTATGTGTGTAAATTATATGGAAAAGTTAAAGCAACATTCTAAAATAATGGAATTTCAAATTTTTCCCACAAACCTATACCTAGAGGATTTATCTATTGTCATCTGATACCTACATCAAATGATAAACTGGACAAATCTCTGAAGTGAGAGTGGGAAAGTTTGGGAAGTGATAGTCACACTAATTTCTGTCCAAAAACTGGTTTAAGGAAGTCTACCCCCAGTGGATCACATATATATTCTAGTCTGTAGGGAGACATCTTATACCATACAGGAATGGGGGAGCTGGGGTTGGTTTTAATTAATAATAGATTGTAAAACCCAACATCTGCTGCAGCCATTCTATAGATAAATCATTGATCAAGGGGGAAGTCAGATGAACTCATTATCAAATTGCCAAGTCACTAATTAAATTCGTTATGTGGTCATGCAATAGGGCTATCATTACATAAAAAAATACCCCAGGAGAGAAAGAAAGACAAAGGGAGGAAGAGAGAGAATCTCAAAGAGAGAGAGAGAGCTCTCCATACATATATATATATTTTTGAAGTCAATTTTCAAAAGTATTCTTACACCTCCCCCATTTCACCATATCCCCATACAGACACACAGACAATACACAGAAGTAAGGTTAAAACAATGTTTTCTTGTTCAACTGCTGATTTTCAGGCATGAGAGAGAGAGAGAGAGAGAGAGAGAGAGAGAGAGAGAGAGAGAGAGAGAGAGAGAGAGAGAGAGAGAGAGAGAGAGAGAGAGAGAGAGAGAGAGAGAGAGAGAGAGAGAGAGAGAGAGAGAGAGAGAGAGAGAGAGAGAGAGAGAGAGAGAGAGAGAGAGAGAGAGAGAGAGAGAGAGAGAGAGAGAGAGAGAGAGAGAGAGAGAGAGAGAGAGAGAGAGAGAGAGAGTGAGAGAGAGAGAGAGAGAGAGAGAGAGAGAGAAAGAGAGAGAGAGAGAGAGAGAGAGAGAGCAAAACTTACTATAAGAACTAAATTTTGGGAGTTATTAGTTGATCTTCCTTAAAGCTCAATCATATGTTTAAAGCTTTTCTGTGATTAATGTGAAACTAAAGCAGACGATTAGCTTTACAGAAATATCCCACCATTCTCTGAAGAATTCAAAATCAAAAGAAAAACTTAAGAAGAGTTGAAAAGATAACCCCAGCACATGAGGCCTTTTCTTACATTAATCAAGCTAATTGTCTTATATAAACTTGCTTCATTCCCAGAGCTCAATTTAAGCCATTAATGTTCCACATCCTTTGATTTGGGATTAAATTAAAACAAAACAAGCCAAAAGACAGACCCCGATAGCAGCCGGGCCTGGTTCTTGCCAAAGTCACTGAAGCGTGACCAAAACATCCTCTGGTACTGCCTCGGCCCCCTGGTATATCTCCGTCAGCCTCAGATCCTCCTCAGCCTTATCTTGATACCCATGCAGATAATCTTAAAAATGCTACACGAGGCATCAACTTCAGAGTTTGTTCTTTTTTTTTTAATTTGGTACAAAAATCCTTTAGCCTTCATTAATTTGGGATGTTTCTTTTTGATAATGTGGTTTGGGAGCTTGTTTTTGACTTGGAGTTTGCAGTTTGTTGTATGAAGTTGTAGTAATCTGTATCGTTTGAAAGTTTTGGTAACAAGGCAAAAGAGTCCATTGACATTTCATTGAAGTTTTTTTCTTTTGGGTTTTAGCATGAGTCAGAAATTAAGTGAACAGGTGGTTGCAAATAATACATGCAGTTTTTTGATTTAAAAAAATGAAAAGCCCTGTTATTTTGAATCCAGAAATATATTTCAAGGAAAAGAAAAAACTTAGGTCTTTTTTCTCTCATTCTAATTTATCTCATCTCTCTCTCTCACTGTATCTCATTCCTTCCTTTCTTTCTCTCTCTCAGAAATTCTCCACAAAAGTGAAATTCTTGCAAAAGTCCACTTTTCTATTAAAAACATTGAGATATGTCAGATGCATAATGATGTGAAATGTTACGGGAATGTTAAGAGTCCAGGGAGCCTAATTTACACGTATTTAGGATCCGGGCCCGGTATAAACACAATAGGACGTCATTATACCCCTGTGTAATACCCCCTTACATCTAATGAGTGGATTTCTCCCTTGAATCTACCCCGGGTATAGAAAAATCTCAGCAGTATACAAAACCGGTTTAATATCTCCTCTCATTATATACCTGCTCTGTACATGGAATCTGTCAACTCCGAGTTAGGCCGTGGAAAAAAATAAATAGAGAGAAACTGACAGAGAAAAAAGAAATCCACTAGTCGTATTTAAAGGCACATGAATATAAATTTTTTTCTTTTTCGTAAATGTCAAATATGTTTGTAGATTGCAGTATTATGCTTTATATACACATATGAAATTAATGTTTTTCAAGTACTGAATGAGGGTTTTTCTCACTGAAAGGCCTGTATAAGAGTTTGGTCGAAGGATTTTAATATTCTACCGGCGTTCCTGGCTTTCATTTAAACAGAGACCCATAGAAAAAGAAATTTTAATAGTGAAATCTGCTAAGGCGTCTTGATCGGTTTATTATTCAGCAGGAAAAAAAAAGAGAAGAAAATTAATAATAGAAGATTGGTAGTTATGATATCATTTATATAAGCCTTTTTATTAAACAGCAAATTCCAGCTTTCTATCTCCTAAACCTTGATCAGGAATATAGGGCCTAATATCTATGGGGCAGACATATTAATAAAATCTCTTTGCATATTAGAAAGAAATTTCCTCGATACATTCTAGAGCACATACAGGGAGGATTGTCTTATTTTTTTATCACGGGGAAAAATTATGAAAATTTTATGGGATACGCCGATAAGAGGGGGAAACATGTTGATTTGGTTGTGATTAGAAACGGACCCTCTCTGTCCTTCGTTATCAATATATAGTGATAACATAATCATTTGTGTACAGTTATACCAGGGTCCAAAGTTATGTTTGGGGAGCATGTATATACACAGAAGATACGGCTTGTCAGAGTGGTGGATCTAAATTTTTATATTTGGGGGGTGCATGTATATACTTAGAAGGTAGGGCTTGTTAGAGAGGTCTTATATATCCAGTCCTGAATTTATCTTCCAAATGCATTGGTCTCAGTTTGATTTTGAAAATGTGCTGGTAGACAGTTTATTATAGTCTGCTTGTAAGGGATGACCCACTAAATGCCATCGATAGAAACTCCACAAAATGAATCTATATTGAATTTAAAGGATTTTATTTGGTAGATGGTAGAAAATTAGAGTGGTCAACCCATGTGAAAGTTTTTCATGTTCTTTCAAATAGACTATAAGGAATCCTGTTACCCTGGTAAAAAAAGCATTGAATACATGTCAAATGTTAATTGTATACAAAGATATGTATACACATTCCTTGTCCAGACATAGGTAAGTCAGCTTTGTCTGATCTTTAATTGTATCTTATCCTTTGTTAGTGTGTCTGTGGTCTAGTGGTCTTATCAAGAGTTTCTAAGGTTGCAGTGTGGATAGCATTTAGATTCCCATTTTGTGTTACCTCTTAGTTCATTCTAAGCACAAATTCTGCTAAGCACGTGCTTGGATCCAGACATTAAATGCGGTGTGGAAGGATTTAGATTCTTTTTCCATTTTGTGTTAGCTGAGTCTCGTAAATACATTCATTCTAAGAGTCTGATTTTAAAACAAATTCAAAACTCTTCCCCAAAGGAATGACTTAAGTTTTCAGCCCAGGAGATAAAAGGCACTTTCCAGTGGTAGATAGACTTTGTTTTTATATTACAATTGTCTTTCTTTAATTATTTCTGCATATGAATTATTGAGCAGCAACTACATTCATGTACGTACGCAACATAGAGTCGATTGTGTTTTTAGATTACCAAGAGTTTGCAAACTCAGTTGTAATTTAAATGAAAACAACTTTACAATCCTACATGCAAAACGTAATCACGTCATGGTATTTGGTAAAAATCAAGAAGCTAGGATAGGGGAAAAAAATTAAAAAATCTTAATTAATATGATTAAGTATCAATTAGGATGTGAAAAAGGAAAAAAAAATCAATAAAAATTGATTAATGAATTTTTGTGAGACATAATGATAAAAGAATGTATTGTTTTTAAAGTCTAAGGAAATATGAAATTGGGACGGAAGAAACCAATCAAAGTGCAGTGATGCATCGGTTGATGGAGTGATTTTTTTGGAGTTGTAAATTAAGCATGTTTTAGGACACCTTAAGGAATGTAAAAGGTTTACAATAATTGAGGATGCACATTATTCATTGTGACACTTAGAGATGAAAAGAGAGAGAGA